GAGAGAGAGAGAGAGAGAGAGAGAGAGAGAGAGAGAGAGAGAGAGAGAGAGAGAGAGAGAGAGAGAGAGAGAGAGAGAGAGAGAGAGCATCTCCCATACCTGCATTGACACGCCACCTTTGTCTGTATCTGGTATGCAGAGAGAGAGCGAGCGAGCGAGAGAGAGAGAGAGAGAGAGAGAGAGAGAGAGAGAGAGAGAGAGAGAGAGAGAGAGAGAGAGAGAGAGAAAGACGGAAAAAGAGGAGGAAGCGAAAGAGAGAGAGACATAGGCAAGCTTCCTCCTTTTTTTCCATTTTTTTTTCCCTTTATTTTTTCCTTTTTTTCTCCGTTTTTTTTTTCTTTTTTGTTCTCGAGACATGCCCGCCATAGCTACACGGCGCACCCTTGTCTCAGCTCGTGCCACTAGCGATGGCAGAGTCTTGACCGCACTCACCCTCTGCCACACACCCACGCGCACACACACACAGACTTGTCCGCACACTCTCTGTCACACCCACGCACGCGCACACTCACACACACTCTTGTCTCTATGACACACACTCACACACACAGGCAGACAGACAAACTTCATCCCATTTGTGTGTGTGTGTGTGTGTCTGTGTGTGTATCTTTACATCTATTGGCGGAAGATTCACTCTCTGGCGGAAGATTCGTTCTCAGGCAGACATGGTTGTGTATCTTTACGTCTTCTAGCAGAAGATTCACTCTCGTTTTCCACATTTCGAGAGTAGTGGAGCGAGGCCCTATGTGTGTGTGTGAGAGAGAGAGAGAGAGAGCGGGAGAGAGAGAGAGAGAGAGAGAGAGAGAGAGAGATAGAGAGATAGAGAGAGAGAGAGAGAGAGAGAGAGAGAGAGAGAGACAAAAAGAGGGCATCCCCACGCCACCCCCTAAATGTGCAAAATGAGAATGAACTTCCCGCTAGAACAAGGCCACATACACCCGCCACCTTCTATCGCAAAAATGTGTCTTTTTTGTCTTTTTTGTTTTTTCCTTTTGTTTTTTTTTTGTTTTTTTTTTTCCGATCAACGCAAAAAAAAAAGGAAAGTCTTTTTTTTTTCCGCAAACATAACGAAAACAAAAAATTTGGAACGATACAGACAAAAAAAGCAAAAAGGATGACACGAGATAAATCGAAAAAAATCAAGATAAATCGATCAATCGAGAAAAAATAGAGATAAATAAATCGAGAAAAAAAAAAGAAAA